TTGAATATCTCTCTTCACTTGTTGCAGCATGTCATTGGTGAAGTAGCCTCCTTTGTTTGCCTCAATAATCTTGTCAATGGTTTTGAGTAATTCTGCCACCTGGTACTGGTTGTTCCTGTATTTATCTCCGTGGTTGTTCTTCCAGTATTTGTTATCAATGACGTGGCAGCGGCTCCCACACTTCTTGATCAGATCGCTCAGAGCTTCACTTTTATTAACAAACTCTTCAATCTTCATTCCCTCACAAAGCTGGTCGCCGTGAGTAAAGATTATTGTGGCAAATCTAAATGCTTCATGTGAGAAATATTGATTAATTTTCTCTCTTACACCCTTTTCATGCTCTGTGTATTTCTCCACTTTAAGCACAATGAGAAAAATATGAGGACCAGGAGCACATTCTGTGATACACCTCACTATTTCAGACTTTATCTCCTTCTCAGGTCTGTCTGTGTCAAACAATCCAGGAGTGTCAATAAAGAGTACCATTCTTCCACTGACTGACATGAACTTTGCCTGACATTCACTTGTTCCAGAAATGGGCATATGATTTACTTCAAACACAGGCTCTCCACACAGGGTGTTGGCAATACTGCTCTTTCCAGCTCCAGTTTTTCCCAGGACCACAATCCTTCTTGCTGACTCTATAAAACAGTAATGATTCAGTGTCAGTTATTTATCTATTGCTCTGTCTAAAAAGGTGCAAGAAATAGTATAGAAGCGGTAAAATATCACTTAAACCTTATTGACACTACAATTAAAAAATGAATGTCCAGTCTGCTTTTTTTAAGTGTAAGTAAAATTGCATATTCTTTACAAATCAGTCAGCTTTGGCTTGCAAGTAAATATGGAAAAGTAGAAAAGAGTTTAATTCCACAGACCATTGTGCAGTTTAGACCTGGTTGTTCAGCTAGATACTGATAAGTATGATAAGATAAGATAACCTTTATTAGTCCCACAGGCAGGAAATTTGTTTGTCACAGCAGAAAGTGGACAGTGCAAAGTTATATAGCAAAAATTAGAGAACACTGGAATACAATAAGAATAAGATACTGTACACAACAGAATAGAATAAAATAAAATACTATATACAAAAGGATAAATAGCATTTAGATGCAATAGAAACAACAAACTTATCCTGTTTATTAAGCTGCTGTAAAAATATTTTTTAATCACTATTTTTACATACTATACTATTTACTTAATATGTTTTACTTTAAAACATTTGTTTAGGTATTCAGTACAGTAAATAATCTTGACAAGGAAAACAAACATTTTTATTCTTGGATGGAGTTAAGTGTCCTGTGCTGACTATTAATACAAAATAAATGATAATAACTTACCATCCATCTTTTTGAAAGAAAACAAAACCAGGGCAGAGACACACGATTACTCACAACCCAAAGACTTTGTGACTGCACCTTTCGTTTTGTTCTACACCTGTTTGACTTGTATCTTGGCAGTGCTTATTGCATTGTGGGGATTATTAAGACTGTCCAATTGCATGTGAGACAGCAACAGAACACATCTAAATATAAATGACCATGACATTTTTATTGTTTTAGTACATTTCATTAAATCAAAACAAAGTGTGCTTACCACAGAAAATGAAGACAAAAAAAACAAAAAGAACTTGTCAGGTCTGAGGTAATGAACCAACCCAAATGCAGAACTCTTCCAAATAAAGACAGTGAGTTTATTTCCAGTGAGAAATAATGAAAAATAATGTAACAATCCCAGCACTGACGCTCCCGTGGTGATCTTCCAAAATCCTGCACAGTCCTTGTGTCCGTGGCATGAACTCCCAATCTGTACGGTGGCTCAGCTCCTGTGACAAACTCCAACCCCAACCCCTAGAAAGACCCTTCTGATTCTGATTCTGATTCTGATTCTAGTGAAAGAAAACACATATGTTGATCTGGTAATCCAAGCACACAGTTTTTACAAGCAAATCCATCACTGTACAGATGAGTGAACTCAGCGATTCAGCGTCAACTAAATCTCAGCTACACAGTTAAGTAGGGAGGCTGCTGCTGTTGATTACAATGAGCTGAAGCTGGCAAGGGCTGATGAGCAGCAGTTGTGGCTGACTTCAGGAGGGCTCAAAACCAATCCCCCCAAAACACAAAAGGGACACAATACAACATTCAAGTTCAGATGGATGACTGCGACTGAAACATTTCAGGCAACTGGTGACGGTATGACATGGCAGGTGACCAGCGGCGTGCTAGAAGTGCAGGCCATGACTCAACAGTACGTGGACAAGCAGGACGGCCAGAATGTAGCTAGGCGCGACATGGATTATAATTTTTTTAATTTATAATTATAATTTCATTCAGAAAAATTACAATTTACGTCGGCAGTAATGACACCATGTTATGTCAATCAAAGATCACAAAAGCCACAAAATGTTGAAAAGACCCCAATACCAGAACGTAAAGAGATGGAAGAAAGTTTGTTGTTCGGGTTTCCAGGTCATGTCTGATTTCATTAAGGAAATACGATAGCTTGGTCATTTTATTGATCACATCTTTGTCAGATCAGCAACTCCAAAACACCACATTGCTGATTTTGCAGATGATTTGTACCTGCTGTTTAGAGCTGTCAAAATCTCACATTCAGACTTACATGTGACCAAAACAATTCAATATAGTTTTATTACTATCAGATTAAAGAATATATACATTTATTAAATTCATATTTAATTAAAATAAAGTGTAGAAAGGAGGAGAGAACCTCTAACCATAACTACACAAAAACTGTACAAAAGTACAATTGTAGTCATAATGTGTGTTACCATCAAGAGAAAGAGAGGCTGCATGCCATGAGTTACATGGATCTTTGTCATTCGCCCTTGTGCGTC